ATGACGCTGGTCAGACCACAGTATGATCCATTTCAAGATGACTGGCAGAGCTGACTGTGCTGTTTCTACATGTAGCCCCCTCCCTCTGTCTATAAAAGCTTTTGTCCACTGGTTGGGGAGGGGGGAGTCGGCCTTTGGACAGGAGTCTGCCCTCTCCCCCACCCCCAACCACTGCCCCCAGTTGCCAGCATCCGAAATAAAGCAAAGTTTCCTTTCCACCAACTTACCTCTTTATTGGCTTTTGAGTGGCGAGCAGCCAGACCCCCATTTTGGTAACAGTATCATGTGTGGGAGGAGAACAGAGCTATAAGAATCCAGAGGAAGAAATGAGCCTTTCAGACTGGGGACCCCAGGGAAGGCTTTGTGTAAAAAATACCACCATGGCTGGGCCTTCAAAGATGAATATGAAAAGCTTTTGCACAGCAAAGGAAACCATTAACAAATGGAAAAGACAATCTACCGAATGGGAGAAAATATTTGCAAGGGATACAACTGATAAGGGATTAATATCCAACATGTAAAAATAGCTCATACAACTCAGCATCAAAAAACAAAAAACCCAATTAAAAAATGGGCAGAAGAACAAAACAGACATTTTTCCAAAGAGGAAATGCAGATGGCCAACAGGCATAAGAAAAGATGCTCAACATCACTAATCACCAGAAAAATGCAAATCAAAACCACAATGAGATATCACCTCACACCTCATAGTCAGAACGGCTATCATCAAAAAGAACACAAATAACTAATGTTGGCAAGGATATGGAGAAAAGGGGAGACTTGTACAGTGTTGGTGGGAATATAAATTGGTGCAGCCACTGAGGAAAACAGTATGGTGATTTTTCAAAAATCTAAAAATAGAACTACCATATGACACAGCAATTCCACTCCTGGGTATACATCCGAAAAAAACAAAAAAACAAATTCAAAAAGATACATGCACTCCAATGTTCATAGCAGCAGTATTTACAAATGCCAAGATATGGAAGCAACCTAAGTGTCCATCAACAGATGAATGGATAAAGAAGATGTGGTGTATACATACAATGCAATACTACTCAGCCATAAAAAAGAACAAAATTTTGTCATTTGCAGCAACATGGATGGACTTGGAGGGCATTATGCTAAGTGAAATAAGTCAGTGAGAGAAATACAAATACTGTATGATATCACTTATATGTGGAATCTAAAAAATACAACAAAGTAGTGAATATAACAAAAAAGCAGACTCACAGATATAGAGAACAAACTAGTGGTTACCAGTGGAGAGGGGGGAAAGGGGTAAAATAGGGATGGGGAGGTGGGAGATACAAACTATTGGGTGTAAGAGAGGCTCAAGGATGTGTTGTACAACATGAGCAATATAGCCAACATTTTAAAATAACTGTAAATGGAAAGTAACCTTTCAAAATTCTATAAAAACTTTTTAAAAGTTGCATGATTTCCTCAGTGCTGAGCCACGTTTTCATCAGAAGTCTTTCAGCTCTCCAAGAGAAAAATTTAATGCAAATGAGCATAAACAAAAAGAGAGCATTATAGGTTCCCACACTGGGAAGTCCAGAGGTGCTGCTGACTTCAAGCCTAGCTGGATCCAGGGACTCAAGGTTATAATCAGAGCTCCACCTTTCTTTCTCCATTCTTATGACGGGTTCTCTCTGGCAGGCAAGATGGCTCTCAGCAAACCCAGTGTATTCATTCCACAGGGCTGCTCTAACAAATCACCACAAACTGTGTCTTAAAACAACAGAAATTTGTTTTCTCACAGTTCAGGTCTGAAGTCTGAAATCAAGGTGTCAGCAGGGTTGATTCCTTCTAGAGGCACTAAGGAAAAATCCATTCCATGCCTGTCTCCTATCTTCTTGCATTTGCCAGAAATCCTTGGCACTTTTTTTTTTTTTTTTTTTGCTTTTAGATGCATTCTACAAATCTCTGCCTCCACCTCACATCCCTGTCCTCTCTGTGTTTCTCCTGTGTGCCTCTTTATTTAAAATCTTCCTCTTCTTTCTCTTGTAAGGACACCAGTCACTGGATTTAGCACCCACGCTAAATCTAGAATGATCTTTCTTGAGATCCTAAACTCAATTATATCTACAAAGAGTTCATTCCAAACAAGTCATAGTTTGAGTTTCCAGGTGGACATAAATTTTAAGGGGACACTGTTAAACCCACTACACCCAGCAAAGTCATCTTTCCCACTATCTATGGTACAAAGTCCCCCTCCAGTGGACCCAGATGGGATCATGTGCCTGATCTGTGGTGAAGGAATTGGCTGTTGAGTTTAGTCCCACCAGAGCCACATGGAGTGAGTTCTCAAGGGAAAAAAAATGTTCTGCTCTCAGAACAGGAGAAGACACATCAATGACAGGATCCTGGAACAAGCTCCTGGCAGAGCTTTCTGAGGGAGGATATGGAAAGGTCTTTGGAATCATTATGCTTCAGAAGTGAATGGACTGCAGAGGTTAGTGTAGTGGCTTCCATTCCCTATTACAGATGAGGAACCAGAAGCACAGGACAAGAATGATTGAAGACCCCTGGACCTAACAGTCAGTGAGGGACATTCCGTTTGAGGACATTCTGTTTGAGGACACCTGCATTTCGGGAGCAAGAGGCACCCGGAGAATGGGACAAATCAGATGGGGAGAGGCCAGTACAGGAGACATGGATGGATCTTCAAAACACATTTTACAATAATTCCTACAGCTATCCCTGCCTTAGTCTACTTAAGCACTTTACCTATGGAACTCAAAATTAGACCACTGGTTTTCAGAGGCAACTCTGAAGGCCTGTGTTGATGTCATGTTTCCATCCATCTTCAGTGAAATTAGAAAATTAAGATAATGTGGAAATTTTTAAGCTAAATTAATTCAATTTATTTTTTTAAATCATTTATTTATTTATTTACTATGTGTTTGGCTGCGCCGGGTCGGGTCTTAGTTGCGGCACATGGGATCTTTAGTTGCAGTATGTGAACTCATAGTTGTAGCATGTGGGATCTAGTCTCCTGACCAGGGATTGAACCTGGGCCCCCTGCATTGGGAGCATTGAGCCCTAGCCACTGGACCATCAGGGAAGTCCCGTAAATTAATTCAATTTAAATGGCTACATGTTGGTCCCAAAATTCTATCCTTTCTACTTTTTTGGTATTTGTTAAGCTGTTTTTAAAAATTAAACCATGGTCAGAGTAGAAAGTAATTATTATTTTGTGTCATTTAGTTTTGTGCCTGTATTTGGCAAATGAAAACGTTGGCAACCCCAGGGTAGGTTTCCATATTTCTGGACAGGGAGGGGATTTTACCGACTCATGAAATCCAAAGGTCTTGGATACCTAATCTTGGCCAACTGCTTCATCTCATTAGGTAGCTCCAGAGCTGAGAAACCCCAGGGAAAAATCACAGAGGACTTCCCTGAACATTCATTTTCTAAAAAGGAAGGTAGCCTGGATTTTGAATTGATTTTTATTGTGTTTGGAATGTTTTAAGAAAGCTCTCTTTCGCTCAGGATGAGATGGAGTTTGTTAGCAACATTTTTAGTTGCTAAGGGATGTGCCGGGCATCCCTTAGTGAAGCAGGCATGTGGTACTTCCTAAAATCCTGTAGCTTAGAGACCGTACCACCATCACTGCAAGTGTTCAAAAACTGTAAGACCCACTTGTTGGTCAAAGCAGCTGAGCTGGTTGAAAGCCTCTGATTTATATGAAAACATTTACCCGTGCTTTTTCAAACAGGAAAATTAGCAGGGCATTCTTCAGAGTAATTGACCTGTGAATTTGAATTTGATTTGTTTATCCACAACAGCCATCACACCAAGTTAGCAATAAGCATGTTTCAGTCGAACTTCACGGTTGGTGACCCCTGAGTTGTACATTATCCATCATGCTACAGGCACTCCTGGCCCACTTTATCCAAGCCACTCTTGTTAGAATAACTGTTTGGAAGTAGGAGGGCCATTGTGAAAGCTTATTTAAGGAGCTAGTTAGACATAAAACAATTCTTTCCTGTAATTTAGAAGGGTGAGTTATCTTTGCCTAACCAGGAGGCAAAGAGATACTCAAGAGTGGCATATTGGTCATCCACTGGGGTAACCAGAGAGACCTGAATTTTCATTAGGTGGTCCTATTGTATCTACTCTCCACCTCTCCCAGCTTCCTTTAGGTTTGTTCAGTTCCTGAAGGATGAAGGAGATAAACAATGCTAAAAAGCCAGCAAAGAAAAGAAATAAGAGTAATCTAGTACGTGATCAATGCCTCACCGTCCAGACCCTAAAATAGAGAAAATAGTAAACATCCCTTACCCACTTCTTTTTTTTTTTTGGTCAACATCTTTATTGGAGTATAATTGCTCTACAACGGTGCATTAGCTTCTGCTGTATAAGAAAGTAAATCAGCCGTGCATATACACATACCCCCATACCCCCACCCTCTTGAGTCTCCCTCCCACCCTCCCTATCCCACCCCTCTAGGTGGTCACAAAGCACCAAGCTGATCTCCCTGTGTTATGCAGCTGCTTCCCACCATCCATCCATTCTACATTTCCTTACCCACTTTTTATTCACTCACTGGTGTGTTCATTGTTTGGTTGGTACATTCATTCATCAATCCATTAAAAATCAAAATTTTATTAGTGACTATTACATGCAAGATATTCTTGTCTTAGGACATTGGATAGAGAGGTAATTAGAATGGACTTAAAGTAAAGGAGCTTTTAGTAAACTCATTTTAGCCTAGTGTTGAGGAGATTGTTGGTGTCCTGAGGGTCCTTGGGTATCCTGTTGGCCTCAAAAGTGCCGACCAGGTTTCAGGCTTCTATTTCAGAAGAAGTGAAGCAGTCCAACTGACTGATTAGGGCTTTCTCCAGGTCTAATATTTTAAGGGAGAGAAACACATCATTGATGAGTCCTTCCCAGGGAAGGAAAGCAGACAAGGACTCAAGGCATAAGCCTGTCCAGGAAGAATGCATGTGTGTCTCCTGGAACTTAAACCCAAGGGAAATCTTGCTGGGAAAGAAGGGAAAAGAGACAAGTCACTAACCACCCTGAGTTGCCATTAATAAAATTTGTACTTATTGATATTAAGAATCATTATTGATTATTGGATATTAATAAACAATCCTAGCACAGGTTTAGTGCCTACTCATGACCATCACTGGGCTGGAGCCACAGACAGACAAAACATAGTTCTTACCCTACAGGAGCGTCTTATATAGTCATGGATGAATATTGGTGAAGAAAAAGGAGACAGTCTTGGTTTCAATTGAGCTTTGCGAAACACAAGAGGGAAGATAAAATCTTTTCATCCTTCTGGCATCTCATTGGAGGGATGGTTCTATCTGTAATTGAAAATAATAGCAACATATATTGCATATGTACTGTGTGCCAGGTACTATTCTAAGTGCTTTGAATACAAAGTGGGCAATCTGCAACCCAGAAAAGGGTCCTCACCAGAACCTGACCGTGCTGGCACCCTGACCTCGGAATTCAGCCTCCAAAACTATGAGAAACAAATTTGTTATATATAAGCCACCTATGGTACTTTGTTATAGCAGCTTAAACAGACTAAGACAGTGATCAAGGAAGGTCTCACCAAGGAAGTGACATCTGAGCAGCTAAATGAAGTAAAGGTGTGAACCACGTGGACACGTAGAGGAAGAGTGATCCAGGAGGGGGAAGGGCAAACACAAACCTGTGTCTGTTCACTTCGAGAACACAGGCTTTATATGTCATGTTGAGCATAAAAAGACGAGTCAGATTTGGACCCTGAACTCAAGGAGTTAATAGTCAAATAGGGGGAAATGGGTAAGTTTAAAAATGTAAACGATTAGATTGATTGACCTCACAATGCACCTGACAATGAGGCTTAGGGCACTGTGAGGGATGAAGACAGGACAGGGATGATCAGGGACGACCTCAGTTTGGAATCAAACCTTTACTTCCTAGGGTTAAAAATATAGCAGTCTGATCATCACATGCAGTAAACAAAATCATGGTTGTGATTGTTTCCTTTTACCTTTTCCACAATAAAACTTGCCAAGAGTAGCGGGTTATACCTAGATCTGCATGTTTGTGTGATGGCCTGTAGCATCTTCTCATTGATATGGTGATAAATCTGAAATCCATCAAGAAACAATGGACAAAGAAGCTTTGCTTCACAAATGTTAACCTTAAAATCTAACGTCCCGTTGCTGCAAATAAAGGGATATTTGCTAAGAATTCCCAGCTAAAGCCACCAGTCAAACTCACTTGCCCTTCCTGGCTTTCTCCTTTTCTCTCTCATGCACTGAAGAATGATTTATCTTTTAACTTAGCCTTAATTCACAATTTCACAATTAATTAAACATCAGCCTAATCATTATACCCACAAAACATTTAAACTGATGTTGGGAGAATAATGGGGAAATGAATAATGCTTTGAAGGTCCATTTCAAATTAGTTATTTGATTAATGAATATTCCACAAGGGCATTTGGGAGATGACCTCTGTTGATGACTTAAAAAAAGACATGTCTGTTTAGATAATGAGAAGACAAAGCGAGCTTGAGTTATCTCTGAGTGTACGTTGTGTAGAATTACAAGGATTAATCCATATAAAATGTTACTTTTCCTGTGGCTTGCTGGAGATAACATAGAGTTGTAAGATCAATAAATAAAGTTTGGCATTTCAAAGATGCTGCTTGATGATAAACTGTGCAGTGCGCACCTCAGACTGCCAGCCGTGGTGGCTCTGAGCACGAGACGCCCACCGGAGGTTTATGAAAGAAAGCTGGGCTTGTTCCTGATAAGGCTTGCAGTGGGGCAGGCTGTTTGCCTCATAAGCTCTCCATAATCTCTCCTAACACCTGACCTTTCGATTTCTTAGATGTAGAAGAAGAAAATTGGTTGTCACCTGCTTCCTGTATATTCAAACAAATAAGAAACAGCTTACCTTGTTTTGTAGTTTAGAAGGAACCTTTTCCCAGCAGTTTCGTGATCAAAAGCGCATATTGCAAAAGGGAATCAAATATAGGTCAAAGACGCTGACTGCAGCGCATGATAAGAGTAAGACTGAGAAGGAGGTGTTTCAATCACAACCAGACTGCCTTCTTTATGGAGAAATACATATCACAGACTTGACGTTGTAATCTCAGACAGTTAGGTTACTTTTCCTCCTTAATTATGCTAAATCTTAGAACAGTCCAAGCTGAATCAAAAATGGGGGTCATCAGAGTCCCCAAAGGATTGGAGTTGTTTGAACATGAAGCAAATGCTAGAGAAGGTTTAATTGCTATGGCCAACAACATAGTACTTCCTTCCCTCCTGAGCTGTTTTTTACTTTAAAGCGTGGAAGTAACCCTCTAAAAGCAGGATTTACATTCATTCAATAGATAACTAATAATCCAGTGCTAAATAATTTCTTGGGAGCAAGTTGAGAACTTGAACTCTTGTGGACCCCAGGGGACCTTTGGATGCCCGTCAGAGGGAGTATAAGGCAGGGCCTCTAACTGCTACACACAAGAAGTTGGTAGGAGACCAGCTGTTGGTGCCCACCTCCTTCCCAACGTATAAAGGATGAGTTAACATTTTCTAAAACCATCTGTTGAGCAACTCTGAATGAGTTTAATTCTAAGGTAAGAAAGATGGACTACTCTTTTAGAAACAGGAGACAGGATATGGTTCAGTCTTCAAGGCTCTAGACTGAAATAATAGAAATTTTAGAAACTAGATCCCAGATCTAGTGGTGGCGTTGACACTGATTAACTGTTCAGCTTCATGCAAGTCACTTCATTTCCTTCCTCTAAAAATGGAAGAGCACAAGGTCCTACTGCATAGCACAGAGAACTATATTCAGTATCCTGTGATAAACCATAAAGAATGTATATATATATATATATATATATGTATATATATATATATATATATATATATACACAACTGAATCACATTGCTGTACAGCAGAAATTAACACAACACTGTAAATCAACTATACTTCAATTTTAAAAGATAATAATAATTTAAAAAATTAAAATGGAAGCGCTTTGATCAGCTTAAAGTTTCCATTCAGCTCAAAATCTCTCTTCTTCTATTCCTTTGCATGGGTGAAAAAAATCAAGGAGTGTGGCAGTGAGCTTTTTTGTAGTTGTTGTCACATGACCATGAGGGAGAAGAATTTATTAGCCTTTTGGGCAGTTGTTCTTTAGAACTGAGTCTTCAATTTTTGCTTTGCAGATGTCCTTTAACATAAATCACCCAGCAGGAAGTTATTTATTACACTCTGCATTTATCTGCACTCATTTCCAAAAAGTACTTGAGAGCCAGGTTTCTCATATCACTTGTAGTATTGCATGATGATTTTGGCATCTTTTGGCATACAATCCTTTTGGATTTGAGATATTCTAGCTCAGGTAGTATTTCTAAAGGTAATTGTCAAGGGAAAAATCCTTGCTTTAATTTGGCCTTGAAAAGATTTCCTTATGCTGACTATTTTCAAGATAACCTTCCTCCAGGAGATCATTTAAAAGTCAAATGACAAGACTGGCTTGAATTTTCCCTTTTCAAGTCCAGAAAGATTTTCTTGAAATATTTGGCATCTTACTCTTTGACAAAGCAGCATTTGGGGACTGCCCGGGATGTCAAGCACTTTTTGGTTTCTTATCCTTTGCTCTCTATTCTCACAAATGGAGACATCCTTGCCATTGGGATCAGTTCATACCTAGGGCAGGGGGGATTTGAGTAAATCTTTTACCTTTCCCTGAGCCTTGTATTGTGTTTTCCTCAATACTCCTTTAGCTTGACCTTTGAGCTCCACTCCAATGACTGATTTTCTACTATTGTGCCTTCATCTTTGTATCTCCTCTAGAGCCTCAATACCTGAGAGCAATGGTCGCCTAGTCTTTGAACTGGTGCTCAGTGACTGGCTCTGTGATATTCCCTGAAATTTTTCCCTGATGCCACCCACTTGCCTAGCTTTATCAGTCAATATTAGACCTTGTTCTGGTTCATTAAGAGGCTACAACTCTTTAAGAGTGCTCTCAGGGACATCCACCCACAGGGTTCCAGGGACCAAGGTTTTGTACTTACGACATTGGCTGTTCCTTGAATTCATTTCTTGATCCTAGTCCAACCAGAAGTGATAACGCAGCTTTAACATCCTATGTGATTCCATCTTCACCTGTATGCATTACAATTTTAACAATGTACAACACTATCTTCAGTCAACTAACATAAAAATGTTCCTTATTAATAATTGATCAATGTGCAAATTCCTTTAGTTATTTTTGTTAATAACAAATCCCATCCTCCAGAGTCTACACAGGGACCTGGATTTCACAATACCAGATGTGCCTGGACTGTGACAATCCCAGATTGGACTCATAAATACAATTGCTTTACTGATGAGTTAACCATCATGATATCCTGGTCCTTCTGCTTCCCTCCATCAGCAAGCTCGTTCTGTTATAGATGTCTGATTTCCTGTTTTAAATCCTCCTCTTTCCAGCCCCAGGACAGCCAACTATACTCTGCTTATCCACATGCAAATAAAGACAAGAAACCTGACTGAATAACAGATTGACATAGGACAGCTCTGTTAACAGAAAATGTCCTATTATTCAGAACCTGTAATGCCACCAGTGTCTTTCCAGGTTTCCATTTGCTCCTATTCTTTGCCATCTTTCCCCTTTCATTGTGGGTGCCACCTTCTCATTAGTATTCCAGCAGGAAAGAGTCTTCACAGAGAAAGTTGCTGAAGCTGTCCTTGGTGGAAACCTGTTCCCCTGCTTGCATTTTCATGGCTGAAACCCATGGTTATATTTGCTACCTACCCTTTATCACCTGGGCTTTCATGAAAGAAAAGGAATTTGAGGAGCAAGTGTAGTAAGAATCTAAAAAGACCAGAAAGTGTACTTAAGGACTGGATCTCCAGCAGAGCAGAGGTGTCTGGGAGAGTAGGTGCAGTCTTTATTCAGAAAGGGACCCAATTCAGAGGGCTTTTAAGTGCAGAGAAATCACACAGCTGATAATCATCAGACATGATTTTTCCATTGAACTGCCATTGTGGAGTCACATTTTAAGACACTAAACTTATTTTCCCCACTCCGTGAAAGTTCAAAATCAGGGCTATTGTGAGTATACCATACCTTTAAAGTTGGTAGGAGAGAGGGAATTTCCCCTCTTTCCTAAAGCAAAAGACGTTTTTACACATACAGATAGAATACATGGATAGGATCCTGGCATATGGCAGATGTTAAATTTGGCCTTAAGAGTAACACCTCACAAGAAAAAGAGAAGTGAGGGAAGCCTTGCTGTACAGTGTCTTCAGTGCAAACTTGCAAGTCAAATGCTATGGCTGACTATGGGGCAGAAATCTGAGTTAGTATTATTTTGGACTCATTTCTCCTGGACAATCAGGACTCTTGTACCCCTTGGGGCTTGGATGTAGAGAGGATGAGACAGTCTCTAGCATTTCCCTAGGATCCTTGATTGCTGGTATTGTGATGTAAGAGGGCGCTACTGAGCCATTCTTAGCAAGAATTTTTTCCCCGGACAAATTCTAGGATTTGAAGGCATAAGTGGCAGTGGAGATGGAGCCAGAGGTGCACAGATACAGTGATCTATACTTTATCTTTGTGAGTTATCTTTAAGACACCATTTATGGTTTTTTGCTTTGTTTTGTTTTTTGTTTTTGAGGAACTGTGGCTCTCCCATACCAGGAAGGGAATGTAGGTAACTTTTTCCATTATGGTGCCACTGGAAGGACTGATTGGGGCAAATTTCATCACAAAGAACAAAAACTTTGCTAAATTAATTAAGAATACAGAAGGAGCTCATGGTACCCATTGTAGGAGGTTTAGCAAAGTTTTATACTGGCCGGCCCTGGAAACATGGAGCCTCAAGACTGAAGGACTTTCTGCAACTGTTTTTTCTCTTCTTCCCCATGGCCCAATACGACCTTAGTTTGCCCATATTCCCATAGAGATAATCCAATTCACTCTGTTCAATTTGGGGAGTGTTTCCAACATCTTTCCCTGGTCTAACCAGGACTGGCCAGGAAGGGACTCTTCTATGCCTAATCCCTAGCATGCTAATGAAAACATGGTGAGCACCCAATCAATATATGTTTATCGAATTAATGAATGAATGAGTCAAACAACCTTTAAATGAATTAGAGAAATATCACTGCAAAACCTCTTTACCCAAAATATCAGGGAAGCAACGATCTCATGGAAAACAAAAAGTGACTTGAATGAGGAATAGACACAAATGTTCACTGTACAAGGACCTCTGCTTTATATTCTGGATGGTGTCACAGGAGGAGGGAGGGAGGCACAACAGAAAAAAAATAGCTATATGTGCCCAAGGACATCAGGGATGGGCTTATTTCTCAGAGAGAGGAATATGGGACGCCAAGATCCCCAAATCTGCCTAATACACTGGCTTCATGTTTCAACCTTCTCAGAAGAATCATGTCTTAAAAGAAGATTTCCAGGAGAGGGACCACAAAAGATAAAGGTGTAAAGCTTTATGAGCGTCGAAAACATTTTGCACAGTTAGACTCCAAAACTCTCCATAGAGATGCCCCCTGATAAAGACTCCTTCTTTGACCAAATTTAAGTCAGGATCCTCTAGGCCCTCTTTGACTAAGCTTCAACTCTGGCCTGCCTCTAGCAAGAATTCTGTTAGGCCAGTTTAGCAATAATCCCTCACCCTTGGTATTACCTCTTGGTAATTTTCTGTCTACTGACCCTCTCACTTTCCTATAAATCTCTGGCTGTCCTTGCTGTATTTGGAGTTGAGTTCAGTCTTTCTCCCCTGTTGCAATAGTCTTGACCCCTATTGCAATAGCTTTGAATAAAGCCTTCCTTGTCATTTTTTAAAAAGTGTTGGAATGGGGTGTCCCTGGTGGCGCAGTGGTTGAGAGTCCACCTGCCGATGCAGGGGACATGGGTTCGTGCCCTGGTCCGGGAAGATCCCACATGCTGCGGAGTGGCTGGGCCTGTGAGCCATGGCCGCTGAGCCTGCACGAGGCCACAACGGTGAGAGGCCCGTGTACCGCAAAAAAAAAAAAAAAAAGAGTGTTGGAATAATTTATCTTTTATACCCCTTTTTCCACTCACTAGCTATTCTTCCCCTGCTCCAGGCTACGTTCCCTGGTCTCTCTGGGGAAGAAGGAGAAATGTCTGCCACTTCCCGTAGCACCCTCTAGAATATAAGATAGAGATCCTCACATCACTGAATTTTTGTGTTTATTCCTCATTCAAGTAAATTTTGGTTTTCTTTGAGACAATGTTTTTCTTCTCTGGTATTTCTGGTAAAGAGATTTGGCAATGATATTTCTCTAATTCACTTAAAGATTATTTGATTCATTCATTCATTCAACAAAAATATATTGAGGGCCCACCACTTGTTCATCTTTAGACCAGGTACTAGGTAAAGAATCCTTAAAACTCATAGTCACGTCTTTTGTTTTGTTTTCAATTTTTTTTTTTTTTTTTTTTTGTTCTCTCACTGGTGTGGCCTCTCCCGTTGTGGAGCACAGGCTCCAGATGCGCAGGCTCAGCGGCCATGGCTCACGGGCCCAGCCGCTCCACGGCATGTGGGATCTTCTCGGACTGGGGCACGAACCTGTGTTCCCTGCATCGGCAGGCGGACTCTCAACCACTGCGCCACCAGGGAAGCCCTGTTTTCAATTATTTTTTAACTGTTTTCTAAAACATAAAAGAATTCATTGGTAAAAATGGAATGCCCTCAAGCACGTACCATCTCACTCCCCTCTCCCAACTTCTAATCTCCCAGGGAGGTTCTTACAGATTTTTCTCCAAGCCCAATATAAAAACACAGGTTCAAGAGACCCAACCAGACCCAACTTGCCATTTACAATTGATATCTCATGGCTGTTCCATCTTCATTTCCTTCAACAAAAGTTTTTAAATAATTTTGATGTCAAGGGAGTCAACTCTCATATGCAGTGTCTAGAACACTGTACATGACCCACAAACATCTGCTGAATAAATAATCTTCCACACAAACGCCTTGGTTAATGCAAGATCACCTGTTGCTCCCATGGAAACTTCTATATGTACTTTGCCACCAACGACAGTTTCTTTATCTGATCTACTATCATATAATATTTTACCCTTGTATGTATACTGCCCACGTTATTTGGTTGCTCTAGTCTTATATGTATATATTGTCTCCCAAGTAGAATAAAAACTTCTTGAGAGTTCAATGGTAAAGCTCACATTATTAAAAGACAGCAACGTGCCAGTCTTTGGACGAGGTGCTGGGGATACGGTAACAGCTAGTATTTATGAGCACTTACTACCAGACACATACTTCATTAAGCACTTAAAGTAGAATTAACTCTTTGAATCTCCATTACAGCTATGAGGCGGGTACTACGTATTATTAGCAACACTTCACCTATGAAGAAACCGAGGCACAAAGAGGTTAAATAACTTGCCTAAGGCTGCGCGGTAAGAGGTAGAGCCAGGTTTCTAGCCCATACAGTCCAAATCCAGACTCCATGCAGCTTCTGAGATCTCTGTTTTATGGTCTGACTCATAACTCTCAGTTAATTAAATTGAATATATGGGAAGATAAAATTTTTCTACTATTCACTCAATCTTAAGAGAACTGTGTTGGAGAAAATAGGTTGGCAAGTTTGACATCTTTTTAGCTGGTGTGCGTGAAGAGATGCCTGCTGTTCTGGAAATAACTTCAGCATGACACTGTGTTTTGCCAGCCTTCCAGCTAACTTTAAATCATGTGGGTCACAACTAAAAATGCTCTGTCCTTTTTCTTGTTGGGATTTTGAATTTACAGAGCTTACATAAGTAGATGTTGTTAAGAAAGGATGAGCGATGATTTGATTCGGGTATATTTGCTCAGGAAGAAAGTGCAACCGAGAATTAGCCCTGAAGGGAAGGACTTCTGATACCAGTTTTCCATTCTTCAGAGAATCCACTGTGCCTCTAAGCAAGTCATTTTACTTCTATCTGTCTGTTTACCCTTTTCTAAAATGTGTGAGATAATCCCTATGCCTCCTGGAAGCAGATAAAGATCCTAGCTTATTTAAGTATCAGAAGAAAACGGGACGAAAAATTCTATGATTACATGTTTTTGTTATACTAAACAACAGCAGATCCATAAAAAGTTTAAGTGCCTTGATGTGCAGGTAGCACACCCACAAAATTAAGCCCCATTATGGCAACATTTTGAAGGAAGGGCTGCTTAACTTATACCCACCCACTCTGGGTCCCAGAAGTTTAACTGAAATAGGCTTTGAGAGTCTATTCTAGAGGAATCAATATAAAATACCATCAGGAGGGGCTTTAACTCTAGACCTCAGGAAGACAAAAGAAACGGTTCAGAATAATGTGAATACACACTATAAAAAGACTAGGACGTCATGATACATACATAACAAATGATAAATTCTATGTCCATTAAATTCTGAGATAAATTACCAATTTGTCCTCACTTAGAAACTGATGACAACCCTTAACCAATGAGGTCAAAAGAAAAGTTTCATCCATTAAGTCTTTATTCAGACTCTCCTGGTTTCCTGTGTATGTTTCTCACAATCCGTGCTGAGGTTGGTAGTACCTTTATATTAATTTTCATTTCTTTTTGCAGATAACTCTCAGTCTCTGCAAATGTTTTGGCATAAAGTTCACTCTAAGTGTTCATTAGCAATTGACAGGTATTTTGACACTTTCCAATAGACTCCTCAAGATGCCTGTAGCCACAATTTGCTAAACCCAGACTGGTGTATCTAACCCACTCTGCTTTACATGCTCTCTACTGTGCTGTGTGATGAACAGACATATTGAGTCACCCAGATGGGGCGAAGCTGAAGAAGACAAATGCTTCTTTCAGCACCCTGAAAATCTCACTACCCAACATAGCCCTGAACCTGCAAACAAAAGCAAAACCAAACACCTCTATATCTAATATCGTCATGCTTTAAGTCTTTATTGCCTTAACATCAAGTGCCGAGTGGCATCTTGACTTTCTTTTGGATAATGAAATACAAAACCTATCGTGTGTGTGAGAAAGTGATGAAGTAAAGGGGGCAATGGGGAACTAGCTTCAGGAAGTGAAAGAGAAAAGGTGTGTGCTGCATGTCATATCTGGTTTTGCATTAGGATGGTGGTGAGATGGCTTTCCTTTGTTCCTTCCTTCTGAGGAAGGTACATATTTTGTATGTGTCTCTAATGCAGGGAGTTAGATATCTTTGTTTACCTCTACCTCAGTCCAGGGGCTCTATCTTTTCACAGTTATCAGGAGTTATTTGGAATATGAGAGTAAGAGAATAATTCTACATTTGAAATTCTGTGGAGTAAGAGGGATGGATTAATTAGGAAGAAACTCAAGTGCATTGACAACATAGCTTTCAGCCCAGGCTATACTATATTTCTAAGTCTACCAGGTATGCAACCATACTTTGTAAATGAGGAAGGGTTGTCTAAATGCAAGGTAGCTTTTTGTTGTAAGAAGAGTCTGGGTACTTGCACACCCTTTGGCACTTAAATATATTGGCAGCAGCCAATTAAGCTCAGCATAAACACAGAGCTAGAATAGGTTTTCTTCCGATCGGTGTGCACTTCAAGCCCCTTTCCCATTTGACTTGGACCATTCTTTCTAATCTACTTTTCAGTGGAGCTGAGATTCGTTTACCAGGCAGGCCCTCCTTGTGATCTTACCTGAGAAGACACACTTAATGAACTGCGTACACGGTGACAAGATTTGTGGGCAGATATTTGGACAATTAGTTCTGTGTTGCTTGTGATGTGGTGAGGACAAGACAGTCCTGGAATCTGGTCCAAGCTCTTTATCACAATTCATCATTGCATTCTTCCCACAGGAGGGAGGCCATCCATGCTGTCTTGGCAAAAGGTGTGTTCTTGATCCCACCTTCTTTTTCTTTTTTCTTCCTTTTTTGCAGTACGCGGGGCTCTCACTGTTGTGGCCTCTCCCGTTGCAGAGCACAGGCTCCGGACGCACAAGCTCAGCGGCCATGGCTCACGGGCCCAGCCGCTCCGCGGTATGTGGGATCCTTCTGGACCGGGGCACGAACCCGTGTCCCCTGCATCGGCAGGCGGACTCTCAACCACTGCGCCACCAGGGAAGGCCCCCACCTTCTTTTTCAATATTCCACGGAACAATGAAGGGTCGCTTCAAGTAAATACTTAAGCAAGTGGGGTTGAAACTGGAGTTTTTCAATTTGATATGGCATTAGACATAGGAGGATTCCCTCACCTCTTTTCAGGCAACTGGTGTGTCATGAATGGTTCAAGGCTCCCCATTACTGACCGGAGGTGGAGAAACAGAGCCGTCTTCAGACTTGAATTTAGCTCCTCTGCTTGCCAGCTGTGTGAACATGGACAGGTTACTTAGACTTTTATAACTTCAGTTACCTTATCTACCAAACAGTGATAGTATGCACTTCAGAGGGTAGTATGAGTATGGGCTTTACCTGCAGGTGTTCCTTCAGCAGAGGTTTCTTAAAAGTCCCAGCTTACTTTAAATCATTGTAAAAGTAATCTCTTTGAAGACTTCTAGCAGAGAGATAGCACTGCTTGGTGATCAGCCCTCACTTTGGCCAGCAAGGTGCCAGACACCAATACATACAATGAAAAGATCCAAGAAAGAAGAGTGGATCTTATGCCCCAGAGAGACTGCAATGGTACAGGCTTGGAAGATGGCAGATGTACTGTGGCCCCCAGGAGCCCATGCCAATGATTCAGGTGTACGTGTGCACTTCACACTCTCCACCAAACATCCCCCAATGTCTGTGGCTCCAAGCCTATAAACCAGGGCCTGTACTCACCCATCTGGATTTCACCTGAGGTATGAGGATTTTATGAGTGCTATGGTCTGAACATTTATGTCCCCCAAAATTCATATGTTGAAATTCTAACCTCCAAAGTGATGGCATTAGGAGGTGTGACCTTTGGGAGGTGCTTAGGTCATGAGGGTGGAGCCCTCACAAATGGGATTAGTGCCTTATAAAAGAGGCTTCAGAGAGATCCTTGCCCCTTCCATCATGGGAGGACATGGTGAGAAGGCTACGAAGTCTATAAACCAGGAAGAAGGTTCTCATGATCTTGGACTTCCCAGCCTCCAGAACTGTGAGAAATAAATGTTGTTTATAAGCCACCAGTTTATGTTATTTCTGTTATAGCATCCTGAACCAACTAAAACACTTCAATAAACCCAGCACATAGCGGGAGTTCAAGAAATCCGAGTTTCCTTCTCATCCCCTCCCTTGTTAAAATGCACTTGGCTATCCTGTTAATACAGTCATGCTACTTGCATGAATAAACATTGTTTGAGTGTAGTATTTGGTGGTTTTCCTTAGACCCAATATTTTACTTACCAAAAGTAGACACTTTTTATCCATTCTGTGTATGGGCTTAAATAGTACATTAAACAAATAAGGAATAGTCATTTATCCTATACTTTATTGTAATGAAATTTTGTTTTAAATCAGTGAGTGAAATTATAGGCATATAAATGCTTTACACACAATAAAAATAAGTTAGACTTGCTACCAATAATTTCATCCTGAAAACCAAACATTTCACTTAGTCCTCATTGTGTGGCATGCTCATTTAGTGAAGCTGCTTGGAAGTTATTTTTAAACACAGCCACTTCAGTCATCATGTCTCACATACTGTCTAGAAGATGCAATGTTTCATTATCAAATGGAAACATTATGGACTGTGCCATATGAGTCATTAAAGAAACAGCAAGATATGTTTTCACTCCCAAACAATAAAGCTTGTTACTATTATTGATGATGTCCTTATAGAACCTCTTAACTGAGAAGCTCAAATGACATTCTAATTGAACTACATAAAATTCCAATAATGCAGATATTCTAAAAGATTTTAGTCTCCACAGTCCATGCTTTCATTTATTTAACAAGCATTTATTGAGCATTTACTATGTGCTAGATACAGAGCTCAGCCCTGAAGACTCAGAAATGAATAAGGCCAAGACAAAGCCTTATGTGAATCAGTTGGTATGGAGACAAATTTAATTAGAAACTATTTTAAAGTCTGGTTTACTTTAACCTGCAGAGTAATCTCTGTACACTGAAGAACTTCCTATTTAGCATAATTAAAAACAGAACCTCTTGGGATGCAGATTTCAAAATAAAAAAGCAAAGATGATTTCTGAAAACCATGTCATTTGGAAGAAACTGAGAGATCATTAAAAAATCTTCCTATATTCTGTTTAAGGGTATTTTTGGTTTAAGGTATGAGTGAGAGAAACTTGAAGCACATCTCAAATTGGATTTTTTTTTTTTTTTTTTTTTTTGGTTATCTTAAAAGCTTTGAAGAAAACTGTGCTTTAGAAAGCAAAGACCAGAATGAGGTTTATATTTGGACCAGTGATTCACACTATATATGTTTGTCATTTTTCCATCAATTTCAGATAAGAAAAAAGGGAATATTGATATAGTCACATACCTAAAAAGACTATTAATCTATTTTTTCTGATAAGTGTGAAAGTACTTAGGTTCTTATTGTTAGAGAGGGAATTTCTTTAAAATTTTTGATTCCATGTAGCTCTGAAACCCCAAAGTACTAGAAATATATATACATATAAATGTGTGTGTGCAGGTGAATTTCCCAAGGACTTTCAGATTTTATCATTAAAACACAATTCATACCACTATCAAAGATTGCTCTATGAATCTGTAAGCCCAAATTAAGGAAACGTTGAAACAATAATCAATAAAATCAATACATATTTTTTAATAAATTTTCTATTGTTTTCCAATTGTGTACTTTAAAATGTTCCTGTGACATGTGCACAACACTTCAAAATGTTAATTAATTTATTTTAAAGTAATATATCTTACTTTATAATACTTACTGTATTAGAGTTCTAATTTGTAATGAAAAGATGATAAATGAATAGAAAATTACATTCCATAATGTGTCCTCAATGTTAACCACACCTTTGGGAAACCCAACAACATGGATCTTGAGAACAAAGCCGAGGCATTATTGTCTATGCAATGGACATTTACCCGAAGTTCAGACTTAGTACCAGGGAGAAAATGAAACTTCTTGTAGCCATCTCAATCAACAGAAATATTTTATATAGTCACTTACCATTTAATGAAGGTCTACTATGTACAGGCATTGCCCTGGGTGCTGGAGATTCAACAATAACTAACACACACTCTCCTCCAGGAGTTCATTGTTTGTCAGTGAAGACACTCAAAGCACAATATGACAGAGACCAATGGAATTTTTTGTGAGACTGTACCACCACTTCCCTATCCAGACAGGGAGCATTGGGACATTCTCTTCCTGGAATGCCCATTCCTTCCTTTTCTGAACTAGCTAATGCCGATCACGCTTCAGATATCAGTTTAAACAATACTTTTCCAGAGACACTTTCTCTGAGACCCTGCAGCCAAGGGTAGGTCCATCTGTTTTACACTTCCATAGCACCCTGTACTTTCTTTCTTTCTTCTTCCTTTTTGAAATTCACAGCACCTTATGATTATTTGTTTGATGCCTGTCTTTCTGCTAGCATATCTGCTCCACAAAGATAGAGCTTATGTGTCTTCTGTTCACAGCTGTCCCCCACATCTAGAACAGAGATTTCCATATCATATGCCCTTGGAAGAGAGCATCAGAGGAAAGCTGAGCAATTGTACACTTTCTGAATCATGTGAACTCACCCATTTTTATCAGACTCCAGGACTTCACCCTCAGCCTGCTGTCTGATCTCTGTCTGTTAGCTTTTCGCTACCTAAAAACTGATCCTAGACTGCTTGCCTGTAGGAGCCATCCAAACGGTTCTCTTCACTTCTAAGAAGCACTCAGAATGTAAACTATTCTTCCCAGTTTGGACCCAAGCTACTCCCAAGTCTCTCTTTAGAACGGTTGACTTCCCTGTTGTTACCCCATGTTTGCATCACATGATCCCCTAGAGGCCTAGGTTGAGTTCCAGTTGAATATTTCTAGTCAAAATTGATGGGTTTGTCAAGTTACAGTGCAGACAACAAGGCTGGCAAGCATAGATCACAAAGAAACATTGCACATCGAAGGCTTTGTGTATGAAATTTGGTATCTTTTAAAATTTAGGTTTAAATATTAATGAAATTTGTATTTGTACAAATTAGATGAGAAAACAAGGTGAGAAAAGTGCTTCTTAGATTCTCACGAGACAAATCAAGCAAGAATGTGTGCTTCCTTCCACAACAGAACATGTTTTGAAATTCCCCCTTCATACATATTTAAATTTGAAGTCTAGCAGCAGTTATTTCTTTACAAGGATGACCAGATTTGTACAAAAGAAAGAAACAAAATACATTGGCAATCCAACCAATTTCTTGGTCCACTGGAAAATTACCAAAACATCACAATTTCACCAAAATGGCACAACCAGGACAATGTATGTAGGAAGTGCACACATAAGCTCTATAATGATATATTTGCATAAAGGGATATATATTAAAACATGATTTATAATATAAATTCCTTTTATTTACTCTTATTTATTTTTGAAAGTATCTACAGGGTATACATTTCAAGTTATTTATAATAACCCCTGCCCTTAAAGAGTTAAATGAGATTTTGCCTGAGGAAAAATTTTACTGCTAACTCCTTATTTACAGTTAGATTTAGGTCAATAGTGCTCAAAGAGCAAAGCTAATTAATGGGGAAGTTAGATTAGTTCTTAAGATACTTCCTATTCTAGTCCTTACTTGAAAGTAAAGATACAATTTAATATCCAAAATAAGTGAATAAGCTTGAATCCTACAGC